TAATGGACAGCAAGCATTTATAACACCTAATGGACAAATAGTTCGAGCACCGACTACTGGTCCTCCGCCAACTGCAATGCAGTTACAGCCTGGACCACAATTTATACATGGTTTAGGACAAGCTATGCAACTGCCACCGGGTGTGGGATCGGGGGAGCAAACATTGTTTACTATTCCTGGCACTAATATACAAGTACCTGTTGTAAATGCTGCTGTACAGCAACAACACATATTACAACAACAACAGCAACAGCAAAACCAAACGCCGTCGGCAACTAATGCCAGTAATACAAACGCTTCGAACAGCGGCAACACATGTTCCACTCAGCCACCCACAAGTAGTACGCATGTTCCGACAAGTTCTACTCAAACTACAACATTGCCCAGTACCATTACGATACCTGGTACCAACATACAGATTCCAACTTCTGTAGCAGCTTCAAATGGTTTATTGGGAAACTTAAGTAACTTGCTGGGTAACAACACAATCAAGTTGGAAAATGGACAGACTTTACAAAATGTGCAAATAAGACCTGCAGGAGCAACGGCCAATTCTAATCAAGCGGGTATACCACAATTCATACAATTTCCGCATGCGCTGCAACAACCGGCAGCACCAACTCTACAGCAAACAGTAGCCGTACAAGTTCCAATTCAAACTGGTGGAGGCCAAACAATATACCAGACAGTACATGTGCCCTTACATCAGTTAAATGCAGCAGGACTGCCAAATATGATGCCCGCACAAGCTCTGCCAATGTCTGCTGCGTTACCTCCTACCCAAATGCAAATAATACCACAATTCGCGCAAATCGCTCAAATAGTGACGCCAAATGGACAAATACAGCAAGTGCAATTGGCGCCTTTGAATGCAATGTCATATTCTCAACTGCCACCAAATGCTAATATTATACACATTCAACAACCCCAAACACAAACCGCTACAACTAATCAGCAACAACAAGCTGCCGCTGCCGCAGCTGCTGCTCAGGCTGCTGCCAGTGCTCAACATCAACAACAACATCAACAGCAGGTATGTCAATACTAATTTATAAAAGCCAAAACATATTGTATTAACTTTTTGATTCTAGGTTGCTCAGCAACAGCAGCAGCAACAGCAACAACAGCAGCAGCTCTTAAATGCATTAAATGCAGCATCGGAATCTGGTATACAATTACCAACAAATCAGTCAATTACAATTACTAATGCCCAAGGACAGCAGGTAACAGTGATACCCGCCCAGCAACTACAACAACTTCGTACTGCCCCAGCGCCAACTGCTCCCGGCACAACCCCAAATCTTATACAGCTGCAGCAGTTGCCAGGAATACAAGCGCTACCCATTCAAAATATTCCTGGTATAGGGCAAGTTCAAATAATTCAGGCGAATCACCTGCCACCCCAATTACAAGGGAGTTTTCAACACGTTATTCTGCCACAACAACTGCAGCAACAGCAGCAGATACAATTACAACCTAATGCAGGCACTGTGCCTAATGCAACGCAATCATCTCTTCCACAGACAGGCACAACATCGACTACGGCAAGCACAAACTTGGTGCAACCAAAAACAGAACCGCAAAGTCCCTCCCAGGTGCAACACACGCTTATTACAAACATAAAGCAAGAACCACCCGATCCGAGTCAAACTCCTCAACAAATAAAATGGGTTGTGCCACATAACATGACTGTAAATATGCAACCACTGCAATCCCAACAACAGCAAACTGATCAGTCTCAACAACATTCATCTAATGAGAGCGCAACAACTACATCATCACTGCCCGCATCCATACAAATCACAAACGTCCCTCAAACGCAAAGCTTCACTATCACACCTACCAATCAAACACGTACCACCCTGTTGAAGACACTTCCCACGACCATGACAGCAGTAAGTGGCATGGCATCACAAAACAATACAATAATGACGCCCAACACAACGGTAACATCTAGTGGTGGCAGCACCCAAATCACAATAGCGACTGCTCCAGCTGCATTAGCTCATCAATTACAACAGCAGCAGCAGCAACAGTCACAATTGCAAGCTCTCCAAACGCAATTAAATGCGGCAAACGCAGCAACAGCGACAACAGTGCCTGCATCAGCAACAACGTCTGTCAATGTTAACATAAATGTTAACGATGTCAGTGCGGGCAATACTACCAGCACCACCAATAGTGGCATAAGTACGATAAGTGGTATTAATTCTAGTGTAGGTGTAAACATGGTCGGAGGGCTGGAAATAAAGCCTCGGCTGAAACGTGTCGCTTGCACTTGTCCCAATTGCACCGAGGGAGAAAAGCACGCCGATCGAAAACGCCAACACATATGCCATATACCAGGTTGCAGTAAGGTATACGGAAAGACGTCACATTTGCGTGCGCATTTGCGTTGGCACACGGGTGAGCGACCTTTTGTCTGTTCATGGCTATTCTGTGGCAAACGTTTTACACGCTCCGATGAATTGCAGCGCCATAGACGTACCCATACCGGAGAAAAGCGGTTTCAATGTCGTGAATGCAATAAGAAATTTATGCGAAGTGATCATCTTTCTAAGCATATAAAAACACACTTTAAGGTGCGATCGCCGCTTGATCTTATGGAACTCAATATGAAGCAAGAAGATAAATCGCATTCGCAACGAATGTCGGAAAATGGGAATGACATTCAAAATAGCGGCGCAACTTCAAATGCACCAAAAAGTATTACAACGGCTAATGGAATGTTGACAATTGAATTGTCAAATTCTGCAGTCTCCAATGTGACGAGCACTATTAGTGGTAATGCTGGAGTGAATGGATCAGGCGTTGCCATGCAAATTACCCAATCGGCAGAAGATGACGATGAAGACGGCACTAGCGGAAGCTATGTTGATGATGATATCGATGATGATGATGATGAGCTTGACGATGATATTGATAGTACGGGTGACGAGGAGAAGATGACAATTACCGTTAGTGAAATTGGTGATAATTCAAACTAACATACGGAGGCACTGTTCATGGAACAGTTCGAATTTAATCAATTCTAATTACGGTTTCGACTTGAATGTAAATAAGTTAAACTTGCACCGAAAAGCGTAGCGATATTTTTTATTTGTGGGTGTAGTATTGTTTTTAAATATGATATTAATCGTAAGAATATATTTAAGCTTCTATTTGCAGCGTAGGTGTAAATATTGACTTAACATATAGCTGAAATTTCAAGTTTAATATATCTGATATATATTTTTTTTACTTGTCTTTAATTTTTATTCAGTTTATTCTTTTTTATTTTTATAATCTATGTAAATTTAGAAATAACATTTTGTATAAAATATTAAAAAAGTTTAGAATTTTAAATTCAAAATATCGAGATATTGTAATGTAATATAAGCCAAGCAAAATTTAGAAAAAAATAAATTTAAATACTAACGAGGAAAGTGTAATCCCATTCTTAATTTTATTTATTTTTGTGTTATTCAAGACCTCTTTCTTAAAATTACCGCCAAAGATAAAATACCGGGTGATTTTTTAAGAGCTTGATAACTTTTTTAAAAAAAAAAACGCATAAAATTTGCAAAATCTCATCGGTTCTTTATTTGAAACGTTAGATTGGTTCATGACATTTACTTTTTGAAGATAATTTCATTTAAATGTTGACCGCGGCTGCGTCTTAGGTGGTCCATTCGGAAAGTCCAATTTTGGGCAACTTTTTCGAGCATTTCGGCCGGAATAGCCCGAATTTCTTCGGAAATGTTGTCTTCCAAAGCTGGAATAGTTGCTGGCTTATTTCTGTAGACTTTAGACTTGACGTAGCCCCACAAAAAATAGTCTAAAGGCGTTAAATCGCATGATCTTGGTGGCCAACTTACGGGTCCATTTCTTGAGATGAATTGTTCTCCGAAGTTTTCCCTCAAAATGGCCATAGAATCGCGAGCTGTGTGGCATGTAGCGCCATCTTGTTGAAACCACATGTCAACCAAGTTCAGTTCTTCCATTTTTGGCAACAAAAAGTTTGTTAGCATCGAACGATAGCGATCGCCATTCACCGTAACGTTGCGTCCAACGGCATCTTTGAAAAAATACGGTCCAATGATTCCACCAGCGTATAAACCACACCAAACAGTGCATTTTTCGGGATGCATGGGCAGTTCTTGAACGGCTTCTGGTTGCTCTTCACCCCAAATGCGGCAATTTTGCTTATTTACGTAGCCATTCAACCAGAAATGAGCCTCATCGCTGAACAAAATTTGTCGATAAAAAAGCGGATTTTCTGCCAACTTTTCTAGGGCCCATTCACTGAAAATTCGACGTTGTGGCAGATCGTTCGGCTTCAGTTCTTGCACGAGCTGTATTTTATACGCAATATTCTCTTCTGTACGCACTGTACGCATTCGTGTGGTTGGTTTAATGTCCAATAAAGTAAACTGAGTGCGAAACTTGGTCACAATCGCATTAATTGTTTGCTCACTTGGTCGATTATGTAGACCATAAATCGGACGTAAAGCGCGAAACACATTTCGAACCGAACACTGATTTTGGTAATAAAATTCAATGATTTGCAAGCGTTGCTCGTTAGTAAGTCTATTCATGATGAAATGTCAAAGCATACTGAGCATCTTTCTCTTTGACACCATGTCTGATATCCCACGTGATCTGTCAAATACTAATGCATGAAAATCCTAACCTCAAAAAAATCACCCATTATTATCAACATAACTAACGTGGCTTAAAGAAAATTATTCATAATTTTTCCGATTAAAACCAACCATAATAATGCGTAAGCATTGTAAATTGACTACAATCATTAAACAATTTTTCTCGATTTTTATAAAAACAATATTTTCTCTGGAGAAAGAATTTCACTTTTCAAGTGTGTGATTGAAATTATTAACCAATTTAACCATTCGAGATGGCAGCACTGTTATCAGTTTTCATCGACGGTTTTCACCAATGTATACAAAACAATTTTCTCAACAACACAACAACGAATGTTAATGGAATGTAGAAACGCCGTGAACGAAAGTTGATGAACGAAGAGTAGAAGTAAGGAAGAAGTGTGGTTATTTAGTTAAACGCAAATATTTTCGCTTAAACAAAAAAAATTACACCATATTTTAAGTTCGCGCCCTGCAAGGAATGTAAGATAATATTCAAAGAAAATACAACCAATAAAGAGAGTATACAAAAAACGGTAAAATAAAGGAGGACAGAAACAGTTCAACGCAACAAAAAGGGCGCCCCAATTTCACCGACTTCAGGCTGAGTTATTGGCTTCTTTAACGTCTAGACTCTAGAGTCTTCAGCGGGATTTCAATTGCAACAACATTGGGGAAAAGTAGTTAGCGAGAAAGCGGAAGTATTACTGCTATACAAAATTAGTTGTATCGGTTACCTGACATTACCAGCAGTGGATACGGAAAGATTTTGCAGCAGCAACATCGTCAATAGTGGCAACAACAGCAGTGATTGCAATCAGGTCTTGATAGGACGCGGTGGCTAGCGCGGAAGTACTGAAACATTGGGTAAAAGTAAATGCAGGCAGGTGTATGTGATATTTTGTTTCCCTTCCCTATTAATTTGGATTGAGAGTTTTGTCTGCGTTGTCATATTGGGATGTTTTCCTTTTTGCTGCCTTATTACGACGTCATTTTTTTTGCACTTCAACGGGCAAGATACCATTCCCACTTCAAAAATATAAAAATTAAATAGCAGATAATATACATACATATCGTTAAAGAGTTCCATTTTTCTGAAAACCAGGTTCCTGATAGTTAAAACTCTATTATGGTACTAAAGCGCCAATTAGGTTAAAATATTTCATTGCCTAACCTTTGGAGGGAATCCGCTACAATGTTCTAAAAATTATATACACATTATTTGGCAGATATCATATTACCTACTAAATATGTAAATTGAGTGAATATATTTTTTGAATTTTTTTTTTTATTGAAGTGCATATGAGTATTTGCTAAAAGTTCTGAGAAGTATAGTCCTTTCCGTTATGAATTATAGGCTGCACTGCTGTCTGTACATCCATATTATAATAGAGCATATCAATATCGCCAGCAGGATCCTGGAATTGAGTGCATGCACATATGCTCGTTAGTGTATGATAGAGGGCAATGCAAAGCCGCAATTTATTTCCATCTATTCATATAGACACATTCTCGATTAAACAATATAAAGTATTTCTAATCCTATCAGGCGCAGTTGCTTTCTTCTTATAAACATTCAGTTAAGGTTAATAAAATTCGTCAAAATATGTACAGTGACGAACTAAAGTATTGGCACAGCAAGATACCTTGACTTTAGCATTGTTTTTTACCACTTATAAAATATGTTTTGATTCCAAAAAAAAGTCCTTAGATAGGACGAGTAATTATCAATTATATTTGTCTTAATTCATTTAATTATAATATAGCGTAATATTATAATAGCGAAACAAAAGTATTGGCACACCCTATAAAATCAGGCAACTTTTTTATTTACATATTAAAAGTATGAGCCAAATTCAGGCTGCACTAAACTAAAATAAAAAAAAAAAATTAAATATAGGGTCATTTTGCAGGTTGCGCATGCTCTTGTGATAAGTTCAAATCCCTAATTCCTTCCCTGACATTTGTTGTATTGTTTGTTTTTAATTTGCATTTAATGCTTGTTTATTTGCTAACAACTATCACATATCAAACATAACAATGAAATAATATTAATCAAAACTTTATTAATATTTTGCAGAGACGCTTATCATCAGGCGGTTATTATGAAAGGTTATCATTTTCTTCAACATTTACAAATTTAAAAAATTTAATTTTTATCATTAAATTTATTTTTATTCAACAAATAACTTGTAAATTTCAAATCGATTTCAATCGTTATAAATACAGTTATTTGCCAACTTATCGTTTATCTTACTAATTATCTACGGACATATGTATTAAATTATGTTGTTATCCATTTAACTAAAGAAATTAATTGTGTTAATACAACAAACTTAACTTCGCGAGCCTAATTGATTTGTTTTTTTCGTAATTCAATTTAGTTTAATTTTACTTTTAATTTCACTATATGCTCAACATTTCATAGAAGGTAACAAAATAAATTTTTTTTCTGTGGTTCTGTTTGGTATAGGAAACTTGTACAAAATGTCTCGTAATAAGGAGAAATACGAGACTACAAACAGACGACAACAGATTTTTATGTCAGCAGAAGATGTGGCTGCTGGTAAAAAATCCTCATGGACTGGCATTGAGATAACAGGTATGCAACATTTTATTGTGACTGTTTGTCTTTGTTTTTGTATATATGTGTGTACCTTAAAAATAATTTTGTTCTTAGTTAAATGTTTAAAATTTCATAGAGAACGGAGTGCCCTGTATTAGACAAAGTGTTTACTTAGAGAAACTGTGATTAAAAATGATTTCGATTAATTAACCATATATTTCGATATTTTTTCTTTCAGCAAAATGTGTGCATAACTACGATTACGTACATACATACATATTATGTACGTATATATATAATTTCACTTAATTTATCTTTTATCATCTTTACAGGCTGTGTACGCAATATTAGTCCCTCATTGTGGGAATTTGAACATTTAACAGCATTGTATCTCAATGACAACCAGCTGTTACGTTTGCCCGGCGACATTGGTTTGCTAAGCAATTTGCGCACATTGGATCTATCAAGTAATAAGTTGCGCAGTTTACCTGCAGAGTTGGGCGAGTTAATACAGTTGAGGTAAACTTACATTAACCGACAAAAAAAATACAAAAAGTCATTGGCTTATAAAATTACAGAAACATTTTTAACTTTGATGCGAAATTTCAAGACATCATTTTGCTAAAATTATTTATCCAATATCACTTTTCATTTTAAAAATATTACGGCTTAAAATACTATAACTTTGCAGAGAACTTCTGTTGAACAACAATTACTTGCGAGTTCTGCCCTATGAAATTGGAAAACTCTTTCATTTGCACGTCCTAGGATTAATGGGAAATCCATTACAAAAAGAGTTTCTATCCATTTATAACGAACCAAATGGCACTCAAAAACTGCTAACATTTATGTTGGACAATTTATCAGGTGAGTACTGCATTCATTAATTATAAGATATATAGTATTACGAAATGCTACACGATTTCCGCCACAGTCGGTTCTATGTTACCGAAACGTATTCGAATTGTTTCCGGTCAAGAAGTATATTCTCTTTAATATTCAATAGTCATTATACTAAGAACTTAACTGACAAATGGCTGCTACCCAGATTATAATTACATATTGAACTAGAACTAGTAATTGTATTGGGAACCTAATTCGTTTCAGAATTATAACGATTGCCAAGAATTGATCTATATTTGAAAAAGAAAAATATATAAATAATGTCAAATTGTTGAAACTAATATTTTTTTGTTTAAAGATGTACTGTGCATCCTTAATATTGCCAAAATGAATGAAAACGAAATCGCTTATCGGTGCTCTTCATAACTCCTTTCTGTCCACCATATACTCGCTTTTACTGTTATCGCCGCTTTGTGTGTACGCTATAACAAACTGGCTGCAAATTGCAACATTATTTCATGATCACTTTTCTTTAATAAGTATCAACAACAAAAACGATCGTATAGTGCAATTACTGTCAACATTCACTATGGTTGTTGTAGTCATAAACGCCTTTTCGAGTCATGAGCATAGAAAGGTGCCACTAGTTGCACCCGGTTGGAAAATCTTCAACGAAACAACCACACGCACAAACAAGCTGTGACGCACTTGTTGACGGTTCGGCTGGTCAGTACCCGTTGCCTTGCTGTGATACCAGTTTGTTGTTGTCTTGCGCTTTTTTCCTCTTATTTTGCAGTCAGTTGATTTTTCCATTAGCCTTACTGGCTGCTGCGTAGGAACAGTGAAAAGAGAAAGTTTCCTGGCAAAACATTTCAATCACAGTTCATGTACCGCCAGCAGCTGTAACTTGAGACAAATTTGCCTATATTAGCACACGCACACACACACAGGTGAACAATGCGTTAGTTGTAATGTGCATATTCAAGGTATCAAGAAACTTTTGATGAAAAGGTATAAGTTAACACAACATTTTATGAACTTCTACATAAATTCCATTCCCACATTATATGCTAGAAACATACAAACCGTTTGCATACTTTGGAGTCCTATTACAACCAAAAGTGCAACTG